AGCCTGTGGATATTCTAAATGATACTTATGCTGGTACTAAGTCTTCTTCTGCATTTTACAATTTTTTTAAGGTTAAAACCTATAATTTTATGGCTTGTGTACATTTCCCTTTAGTAATATTAATAGGACCTATAATCATACAGGGAATGAAGTTATAATGTTATGCTCGTGTACATTTCCCTTTAGTAATATTAATAGGACCTATAATCATACAGGGAATGAAGTTAACTTGTCAAAATTGTCGTTTATATACTTGTCTTAATAACTCTATATTGTTTAATCAATCTTTTGAATCAGTTATGATTTTAACTCAACGAAATTCTTTATGGATTCCAGCGAAGATGCATCATCCCTGGGAAAACAGTCCTGTTCAAGGATTAATTATGCAATTTTTCAAAAGACTGTTACGACGAGGCAAACGTATGACTGGCTTGATTGTTGCTGCTATTTTGGGACTTATCGCTTTAGCTGCTACTGCTACTACTGCTGGTGTGGCACTTCAGAAGTCTGTTCAAACGCAAGACTTTATTGAACAGTGGCATGATGATTCTCATAAGCTTTGGACACGTCAGGCTCAGATTAACTCACAACTACAAGAAGAAATTGTGGCTTTACAAGGGGGGTTACATTGGCTGGAAAATAAGTTATTGGAATTACAAAAAACGATGCAGTATGTATGTGATTGGAATTCTTCTCAAATTTGTATTATCCCATATAAATATAATGATTCTAAGTATGAATGGGAAAATACAGAATTGTATATTCAAGGTAAAATGGATAATGTAACCTTTAATGAAATACAATTACAGGAAGAGATTTATGAGATATTTTCGGAAGAAATACCTTCTACAAGTTCTGTTGATCAAGTAGCAATTACTTTAGCTAATACCCTTTCTGGTCTTGATCCTCGAGGATGGTGGCAAAGTTTCGCATAGTCTTGGATCTTCAGCTGTTACTTTTATAATACTCTTATGTGTAATGTTTATCAGGTATCGATGTGTTCTTGGAATCGTATCTCGCCTTACTAATAAGCAGTCTACTGAAACATTAGTTACCGCTTTGCATTATCACAATGAAAAAATGAAGGCTGAAAATAATAGGGAATCACTTCCGTTGTAAATGGTTTAGTTCCCTTTTATGTTTATGAAATCTTTATGGCAAATCAATGCTATTTTGACAAAGGCCGGTAGTCAAAGACGGGTAAGATCTTCTTGGAGAAAGTCAACCTAAGACAGGGCATAGTTGACGGAAACTGCATACCAATGACGGGTAAGACTTTGCTCTTGCGGAAGACAACCTAAGACAGGCATGGTCTTTCTGTCCAGAATTATAACCTGATCTGATGTTATAAAAAATAAAGGGGAATTGTGAAGGCTCAAGCTCTGATCTGGTGTACATTCAGAATAAGTTCTGACCTGAAATAAACTCAGACCTGGACCGGGAAACTTCAGTTCCCTGAGAACTTGGATGTTCTTCTGCAGTTATTCTTATCATATGACCGACTGTTCCTTGTACCTGATTAAAGGTACATAATAAAGCTACAAAGATATATAAGATCCCAAACAGGGCTGAGCCCTGGGAACCTGAAGATATTGTAAAGGTCAGGGAGGTACTACAAATGTCAGAATGAGATCATTTGGTCTGAGTAGAACATTTCTCTTCCTCTTGTTGTACTATAAATAAGGCTGATTCTTAGAATAAAGCATGCACTGGTTCACACTCCACTGCATCCCCTGAGTCCTGATTTCTTCTGCACCTATACCTTGGGGCCCTCAAGCACTTCAGGCTTGAATTGTGGTCACCAACCTGTGACATACCATGTGTGTGCAATGTCCATAAAGACCAGAAGAGAGCAGCAGATCCAGTTAAGGATAGCTGTTTGCTATCCTGTGGGGTGCTAGGAACCAAAACCAGGTCCTCTGCCAGCCAGCGCTATGCTCTGAGCCATTTCTCCAGCCCCATCTTTTCAAAACTTCTCTTCTTGTTCTTAAAAAAAAAAAAAAAAAAAAAGGGGGGGGGGGGCGGGGACTGGAGAGATGGCTCAGTGGTTAAGAGCACTGGCTGCTCTTGCAGAGAACTGAACACTCACACAGCAGCTAACAACTGTCCCTAACTCCAGTTCCAGGGGATTTGATACCCTCTTGTGGCCTCCATGGGCACTGCATGATACCAGCGCACTTACACATGTGCAAGCAACACACTCATGCACATAAAATAAAAATAAGGAGCTGGAGAAATGGCTCAGCAGTTAAGAGCACTAACTGCTCTTGCAGAGGACCAGGGTTTGATTCCCAACACCTACATGGCAGCTATGAACCGTCCTTAACTCCAGTTCCAGGGGACTCCAATGTGGCATTACACAACACAGGTGCACTCACATACATGCAGGCAATACACTCATACACATAAAATAAAAATAAATAAAATTTTAAAAAATAAAAATAATAAAATATCTAGAGAAACAAAACAAAACAAAAAACAGGTTCTCCCTGTAGCCCCAGCTGTTTATCTTACTACATAGACCCGGCTGGCCTTGATCTCACAGAGATCTACCTGCCTCTGTCTCTACACCACACCCTAAAAAAAAAAAAAAATTCTCTCTATATATATTTTTTACATTTCTTTATTGTGTGCTATAGGGAATGGGGACATGCATGCCACAGTGGGCCTGTGTATAGCTCAAAGGACAACATGCATGTTTCCTTCCTTCCACAGATCATTAGGCTTAGCAATTAAGTGCCTTTACCCACTGAGCCATCTCTCCAGCAAATTTTCTGAAGCTATTTTTCTATTACAGAATTAATTTTCTAATCGATGCTGGATTTGTTGTGATTCAAATGCACATCTCTAAGTGCAAAACCATAAACTCAAATATTTTAAGAAATTACAACAGAGCTAGGTAATGGCTGAGATGTTACAGAAAAAGTAACAGTATAAGAATAGACTAGTAGCTCAAGATAAGTAATACAGAATGAAGGTAAGAGGTTTTCAGCCTAGGCTATATAGTGAGTTCCCGGCCAGATGAGGCTTGTGTAAAAACCTGTCTAAAAATAAGTAAATATAAAATAAATATATGTACAAGCTTTATTGTAATAATAAAGCATGTTAAATTTTTTTCTCTTAAAAAGACAATCTAAAGCTTGACCTGTACAGGCCTATAATAAAAGCTCCAGGGAATCTGAGGTAAGAGGATCTCAAATTCAAGAATAGCCATTGTGATCAAGTGAATGCAAGGCCGGTCTAGGCAATTTAGTGACACCCTGTCTCAAAGGTAAGAAGAGGACTAGAAATATAACTCAAGAATGTATGTTAACCATATGTGAGGCCCTAGGTTTAATCCTCAGTACTGTCAGAAGGAAAATAGAAGAAAAAAAAAAAAACCTGAAGCCAGTTCACATTAAGGTTATGTAATTGCAACTGTTTTAAATATAGGCTCTCAGACAGATACAACCAGGCCCCTGCCCATCTTACCAATAACAGAAATATTTGAACACTTTTGTATGTTTCAAAATAAGAATTACTATAAATACTATTTTCTCCTACTTATATATAACATATGATAAAGTCTAATTTTTAAATTAGGCACAGTAAAATACTGATAACTAATAGTAAAATGGCAAAATTATCATGTACTGTAATGTTATGTGAATACTGCTGCACTTGCTCTATCTTAAAATATCTTACTGCACTTTACACACCAGATTCCATTTGTCTACCCACGTTTTATGCCCTGGTCCCTCCTTTGAAATATTATATGTTTTTTACTGCACATTCTCCTCTAAGAAGGCACATTTTCATCGCAAAGAAGACTTGCTTTAGAGTGTCACTTCTCCTTAATCAACTTCTCCCACATTGCTGGAGATGTGGCACCAGCTTTCTCATAGGCAGATACCGCCTCTCCAGCAACTTTTAGATATTTCAGTTCAAACATATTCCTGAATCTGTGTAACTCTACTTTGCTCATAAAAACACTTTCATGTTACTAAGTTTTTATAATAGCTCAATTCTTTGGGGCACACCACCATGCCATCAGCTGGAAAGAACATATTTTCTGATTCATGTCTTCCACTCACAAATGCAATGGTCTATGCTGGGCATGGTGGTACATGCCTTTAATCCCAGCACTTGGGAGGCAGAGCAGGTAGATCTTTGTGAGTTCGAAGCCAGCCTAATCTACATAGTGAGTTCCAGGACAGCTAGGGCTACAGGGAGATCCTGTCTCAAAAAGACAAACAAACAAACAAAACAAAACAAAACAAAAATGCTATGGTCTTTTCCATTTTAACTGAGCACTTTATCACATATTTGGATTGTGACTTCTATTTTTAGATGTGACATTGAAAGCTAGACAAATGTCTTAATAATGATTCTTAATAATTTTATAATCATTTTTAATGTATTTCTCAGTACGATCAACATATATTTTTTTTCTTATTATCTCAAGAACATTTACCTTTACACTTGAAGAACATACCAATTTTTTTTTTAATCCAATTGGCCAGTATCACTTTGCCTACTCTTTGAAATTATTATTAAGTCAAATAAGGGTTACTTGAACACAAGCACTGTGATATCATGACAGCTGATTCAATAACATATATAGCTACAAGGGTGGAAAGCCTGGACAAAGGAATGAGTCACATGAATGACACGATACTATATCACACACTATTCTTCTGTACTTCTGTAATTTGTATTTAATATTACTTGGAACTATGGAAAGTTCATGAAACCACAAACAAGAAAGGATGACTCTAAATGTACATCAATGATACAACTACTACTAAAGAAGGGTTTTTGTGGGGGGGGGGCTTTTTGAGACAGGGTCTCCCTGTAGCCCCAGCTTTCCTGGAACTCACTATGTAGACCAGGCTGGCCTCAAACTCACAGAGATCCGCCTGCCTCGGCCTCCCAAGTGCTGGGCGTGCACCACCACGCCTGGCCAAACATATTGTTTTTTAAATAAATCACATATTTTACAATTGACAAAAACAACATACCTTTCTAGAAAAGCCAAGATCTCCCTTCTTAGGCATAAATCCAGGGTCTAAATCATTGGATTCAAGAAGTTTCTTAGTTGGTTTCCTTTGACGCTTACTTTCATAATTTCCTGAAATGCACATAATTTTCCTTAGATGACAAATTGAAAACAAGCTAACTTTGAAAAACTAAAATTGTATAATACAAAGAGTAACAATCTTGCTTGCATTTTTTTTTTTCATGTTATAAAGAAAGGCAAAATGGAAATAAATTTATTTTAATGAAAAGAATTTTTGGGGGGGAGGGTCTTTTTGATACAGGGTCTCCCTGTAGCCTCAGCTAGATTGGAACTCACTATGTAGACCAGGCTGCCCTCAGGTCTCCCAGAGATTAGCCTGCCCCTGCCACCAGAATGCTGGGATTAAAGGCGTGTGACAAAATGCCCAGCTGAAAAAAATAGTTCTAAATTAAGATACAAACTAAATGTAAAGATAATAGAGAGAGAAAGAGAGAGAGAGAGAGAGAGAGAGAGAGAGAGAGAGAGAGAGAGAGAGAGTGTGTAAATCACAGAATAAAGGCAAAATCAAAAGCACTAAACTGCATTTACAACAATTAATTGGTGGTAAAACCAAAGGATGGAAAAACAAAGCAGAGCCAGGTTTCTGGGCTTAAATGGATCAGGACTATAATATTTATTCTGTCCCTAAAAGTGTATATAAGTTAAGTATAAAGATACCTAAGTACTGTAAAAGACTGCTCTTAAAAACTACATCAGGCGGGGTGTGGTGATGCACACCTTTGATCCCAGCACTTGGGAGGCAGAGGCAGGCAGATCTCTGTGAGTTCAAGTCCACCCTGGTCTACATAGTGAGTTCCAGGCCAGCTGGGGCTATAGGGAAACCAAAAAAAAAAAAAAACCTACATCAGAGAGTTAAATATGATATACTACCCATTGGCTCCCAGTGCTTAAGAGGCTGAGGAACAGCTGGGCATGGTAGCGCAGGCCTTTGATCCCAGCACTTGGGAGGCGGAGGCAGGCAGATCTCTGTGAGTTCAAGGCCACCCTGGTCTACATAGTGAGTTCCAGGACAGCTGGGGCTACAGGGAGACCCTGCTTAAAAAGATGACAAAAATAAAAATAAAATCTTTTAGGGGTCCAACATGATGATTCAGTATATAAAGGCACTTAATGCCAAGACTAATGACCTGAGTTCAATCCCTGGGACCCCTAGGTGGTGGAAGGAAAAGGCTGACTCCTGTGAATTGTCTTTGGCCTCTGCTCCACACACGAGTTATAAGACTCTTGCACTCATGAGTACAGTCCTACACATAAAAATGCACTGAAGGAGCTGGAGAGAACCAGTTAAGAACACTGGTTGTTCTTGCAGAAGACCCAGGTTCAAATCCCAGCACCCACATGGCAGCTAACAACTGTCCATAACTCCAGTCCTAGAGGATCCGGCAGCCTCTTCTAACCTCCAAGGGCATTGCACGACATGGGTGCATTTACCTACATGCAGGCAATACACGCATACACATTTAAAAAAAATCTGGGCATGGTGGCGCCCGGTCTACATAGTGAGTTCCAGGCCAGTCAAGGCTACACAGCAAGATGGTGTCTCAAAAAAAAACAACCTCCCTCCCCAAAAACAAGACACTTGCATAGCAAAAAATAAAATAGTTGAAATATCCAATAATCAAAAGATGAGAGGTATAGTACATTTAGATTTACTTCTTCCCAGGTGACAAATTATAAAGTGAGAAGCACCTGTAATTAACCACTAGCGATACTGAAGCACAGTAGATGTTAACTATTTGTTCACAACTGTAACATTATACATTATTATTTCTGGTGGGATTTTTTTTGTGTGTGTGTATGTGTGTGCATGTGTTCAGGTACACATGCACATGTGTGCACATGCATGTAGAGGCCCGAAGTCAACCTCACATGCTGCTCCTCAGAAGCTGTCCACTTTGCTTTCTGAGACAGCGTCTCTCACTGTGGCCAGGAGCTCACCAATTAAGCTAGGCTGCCAGACAACCTCCAGGAATCCAGTCTCTGCCTCCATAGTAATGGGATTACAAACATGCACCACCATGCTAGATTATTATAACATGAGGAATGGGAACAAACTGAGGTCCTCCTGGTTGTATAGCAAGTACTTTACTAAACAATCTGTTTCTCCAGTCCTAATTATCTCTAGTTTATACATGATGAAACAATTTTAGAGATTAAGCAGCTGCCCAAGGAACAAATGAACAGGTAGTTAGTAGGTGAAAAAGGTATCAAGTGGTTTATTCCACTAGTGCGCAGCTCTCCTACCCAAACTGTTACCTTGCTTGTTTACTTGTAGCTGATCAATATTCATGAAAGGAAAAATAAAGCAAGTAAGGCAGTTTTTAAAAATGTCTTCTTCAGACTACCACAGATTCACTTGTGGCCAGAAGCTATAGCAAATTAGTCACTGTTGTAGGTATTTCCTAGAACAAAATTAGGTAGTTTGTTCTACATAATAAAAAATGGTGCATGCCTTTAATCTCAGCACTTAGGAGACAGGGGGAGGCCAATCTCTGTAAGTTCGAGGCCAACCTGGTCTACACAGTGAGTTCTAGGCTACTTGGTTGCAGGGAGCACCTGTCTCAAAAACAAACAAAAACTTAGTTGTAGGACAAAACACAGAAATTTACTACTCCATCCAATCATATTTACTTATATACTTAGAACTCATCCCCACCTTACCTGGTGTTTTAACAAGCAATTCCTCAGACTCAAGGGCAGGCCGCGGAGAGACTTCTGGAGCCACAGGTACAGACAAGGTAAGCTGTGGCAACTCAGCATGTCCACCTACAAGATCTGACTGAGCCAAGGGCCCTTCCAAACATGGAGCCTCTCTTTCAAGAACTGGAGGCTCGTCTTTGGTTGAAATCAAAGAATTCTCATCCACCTGCTTGTTCTGAGCACTAGATCGACATCGGGCTAGAAGGCTTTCCTCTTCACAGCGGGAACTTACCTAAACACAGTAAAAAGCAAACAGAAGACAAAGGCCACAGTGTTTATAATTTATTTTAAAAAATAATACTGATTAAATACTTAAAGACAAATGAGATTCAAACACTTGCTATGACATACATGAAGTTTAAGGACATTATGGTAGCAAAGGGAAATAAGCCAAACACAAAATTAAGTATTATACAATTCCACTATGATGAGTCACCTAAAAGAATCAAACTCACAGAGTTGAAAAATATAATACTGGTTGTCAGGGACTGACAAGAGCAAAGGAAATTATCTGGTCACTAAATACTGATTTTCAGTTTAGGAAGATAAAATACTTCTACAGGTTAATGATAGCGATGGTTGCATAATAGCATGGCTTTATTTAATGTCATGGAACTGTACATTCAGAACAGTTACTATGATAGAGTTTGTGACATATTTTACCATAATTTAAAAAGAAAAAAATACATGATGGATACATGGAAACTATAAAAATTCTATAATGATAAGCCAAAGAATGAAGAAAATGAAAGCTTGTCCCAATGTTACCAATTAAAACTACCAACTCCCTAATTAAAATTAGTCATTAATGTGAAAGAAATAAGCATTTATTTACTTTTAAAGGATTCAGAGTCTAGTTAACAAAAAAGATTGCTAGCTAGAAGTAGAAGACATGAGGGGCTGGAGAGACGGCTCAGGGGTTAAGAGCACTAACCGCTCTTGCAGAGGACCTGGGTTTGGTTCCCAACATCCACATGGCAGCTAACAATCGCCTGTAACTCCAGTTCCAGGTGATCTAACACCCTCTTCTGACCTCCACAGGCATTGTACAACACGGATGCACTTAAACACAAGCAGGCAATATACTAATACGCATAAAATAAAAAAAAGAGCTGAGCGTGGCAGTGCGTTTTGTCCCAGCACTCAGGAGGCAGGTGGATCTTGGTGAGTTCAAGGGCAGCCTGGTCTACACAGTGAGTTCCAAGCCAGCTGGGGCTACAGGGAGAACCTGTCTCAAAAAAAGCAAAAAAAAATTAAATAAAATATTTAAAAGTAGAAGAAATGAAAAAAATCTCAATGGGGGACATTCCTCTGCAACCAAAATACATAAAAGGGTAAAATGAAGAGAGGGCCATCTACTAAGTTCAAACAGGAAATAAACGAGCTGAGTGACATATATGAGAATGCAACCACATAGATCCTGAAATTTTCTATGTCAATTTAAACAAACTAGCACTTTATTAACATATAAATATGCTAAATTGGTTCTGTTCTGATGTTCCTGGAAGTGTACATTATTTGGTAATGTATTGTTAAAATGCCTTTACAACTGGGATAAAGCTCAATGGTAGAAAACTTGCATAGTATGTGAGACGTACATCATAAAACAAAGAATCAAAATGGTTTCAATTTACAAATGAAGTCCTTCAGCCCAAACAAAAATTATTTTAAAGATGAATAAAGCAACATAATTTAGTATTTACTTATTTACTCTTTTTTTTTTTTTTTTCTCCTCCTCTTTTTGAGATAAGGATTCCCTATAGCCGCAGCTGGCCTGGATTTGCTAATAGAGACTAGGCTGGCATTTATTTAGTTTTTTAGAGAAAGGGTCTCTCTGTAGTCCCAGCTGGCCTGGAACTCACTATGTAGACCAGGCCTGCTTTGCCTCCTGAGTGCCGGGATTAAAGGCATGTGCCACCGTGCCCAGCTCATAATATTTGTTTTAAAAGTTGGCAAGAGGGGGGCTGGAGAGATGGCTCAGCGGTTATGATCATTGATTGACTGCTCTTGTAGAGAACCCAGATTCGATTTGCAGCACTCACATGGCAGCTAACAGTCATCCATTAACTTCAGTTCTAGGGGATCTGATGCCTTCTGACCTCTACTGCACTGCACTATACGGATGCACTTATATAAGTGTAGGCGCTACATCCATACACATAAAAATAACCAAAAAAAAAATTTGGGGGGCGGGGGGGGCTTTTTGAGACAGGGTCTCCCTGTAGCCCCAGCTGTCCTGAAACTCACCATGTAGACCAGGCTGGCCTTGAACTTACAGAGATCCACCTGCCTCTGCCTTCCGAGTGCTGGGATTAAAGGCGTGGGACATCACGACTGGCAACAAAATATTTAATCTTTTTTTTTTAAATTATTTTTATTTTATGTGTATGAGTGTATTGCCTGCATGTAAGTAAGTCAGTGCACCCGTGTCATGCAATGCTGCAGAGGTCAGAAGAGGGCTTTGGATTCCCCTGGAACTGGAGAAGGATGGTTTGCAGCCGCCATGTGGGTGCTGGAAATCGAACCCGGGTCCTCTGCAAGAGCAGTCAGTGTTCTTAACCACTGAGCCATCTCTCCAGCCCCAACAAAATATATTTTTAAAACAATGTTGGCAAGAGGGAGAGGATGTGATGGTTCAGTGAGTAAAGAACTTTGCTGCTAAGTATGACAAACTTGAGTTTGATCCATGGGATCCACATGTTGGAAACAGGAAATAATTCAAACAAGTTGTCTTCTGACTTTGACATGTGCACCTATCCACACACTTACACACCTATAGACCACACACACACACACACACACACACACACACACACACACACACGATATAGAGACGAACACACAAATAAATGTAATTTCTTTTTAAAAGGCTGGCTGGGGGGACGGGAGAATGGAGAGACAGGTCAGTGGTTAAGAGTACTGGCTGCTCTAGCAGTGGACCTAGGTTTGATTCCCAACACCTACATGGAGCTCATAACCATCCGTAACTCCAGTTCCAAAGGATCCCTCTTCTGACCTCCTCGGGCATTGCACAACACAAGTGCACTTAACATGCAGGCGATACACTTATACATATAAAGAAATTAAAATGTTAATTTTTTTTTCGTTTTTTTTGAGACAGGGTCTCCCTGTAGCCCCAGCTGGCCTGGAACTTGTGTAGACCAGCCTGGCCATGAACTCACAAAGATCCTCCTGCCTCTGCTTCTGGAGTGCCGGGATTAAAGGTGTGTGCCACCACACCTGGCTTAAAATATTCTTATTTTTAAAAAGTTTGGCTAGGGAGATGGTTCTGTGGGTAAAGTGCTTGCTACACAAGCATGAGGACCTTGAGTTTGATTCCCCAAAACCTACATAAGCCAAACAGGGTAGTACAAGTCTGCAATTCCAGCACTAGTAAAAACAAATCAGAGTTGGAGATGGGAAAACTCCAGGAAGCTCCTGGACCAACTAGCCTGGTGTATATAGTGGAAAAAAACAAGAGGCCCCCATTTCAAAGAAAGTAGAAGGTGAGAACCAACACTTGAAGTTGTTCTCAGTGTTACATACAATGCATGTGTACCATGGCCTGTTCAGGGAACTGTCTGCCTGCACTCACATATACAAATGAGTGCACACCAAAACAAACAAAAAATTTTAAAATAAAGCAACTCTCCCTTTGAAAAGCCCACATTCATTCTATCAGATGCACTTTAATCTCTCTCTGGAAATACCTTTCTCTCTGTAATAAATCCAACTTTACTTCATTAAGAAAAGGATAAAATTACATGTATTTTATCTTATGATTTATTTGAAAAAGATTCTATTTTTATTTTTAATTATGTCTATGTGTCTGTAGATGAATGTGACTGCAGATGCCCAGACAGAAAAGAAGAGGGCACTGGAGCTAGAGTTACATGCAATTGTGTTTGCCTGATGTGGGTGGCTAGGAACTGAACTTGGGTCCTCTGTAAAAGGAGTACACTCTCTATAAAAGATGATTCCTAAAAAGGAGTCATCTCTCCAGCCCTTGATCTGTTTCTTAGTGTTGTATCAGATCAACATTCCTAAGTACTTAATACTCTTCAAAAGCAAAGAGGGGTAAAAATATATATACATAGACATAATATGAAGCCTCATTTATATATTTCCTGAATCAAAAATACATGGTAGTACTACGCTAGAAGCTAATTTTTTTTTTTTTAAATGGACAAGATAACACTTAAGGAAACTGTCTTGTAAGGATAAAACAGGATACTGAAGGAAAACTGCAGTCATGTAAAATGTTGAATCATACCTTATGCACTTGCTCCTGTACCTTCTTTTGTTTTTTCTTTGGAGCAAATATCTGATCATATTCTTCTGTATATTCCAGAAGCCACTTGCTTGGCTTCCTAAGGCGTTTCTTCTCTGACCGCATGGCTGGAAGGAAAAATCATTTCAATTGTGACTAATTAATTCTATTACTTAATTAAATCCACACTTTCATGAACCCATCTCCACACTCTTGAAAGCAAATCCTTGCTTATTAACAATAAAGAGGCTCAAAATGACTTAAAAGATGTAAAAAAAAAAAAAAAAAAGGGGGGGGGGACTACAGAGACAGCTCAGGGAGTTAAGAGCATTTGCTGTCTTCTGGAATACCTGCGTTCAAGTCCTAGCACCCACATGGCAAGGCTCTGGCTTTGTCATTCTCTTCCAGGCTCTGTGGACACTACACACACCAGTAAATATACCGGCTATCAAAACACTTGTACAAATTAAAAAATTACCAAAAAAAAAAAAAATGTAAAAAAGAGTCTGGCTTAACAGGAAAATGCTTAAAATTATTTGCTATGGTTTATCACAAAAGTTGGAAGAGGGGCTTTTGTTACCCTATATAGTCCCCATATGTACAATTCCTCCAATCTTAAAGAAGAGTAAGCTGATATTAGTATTCTGTACACTAGTACAAACAAAGCTAACATACATCTAAATAAAATAGAGTACAGACAATCAAGTAAACTAGACAAAACACATGATCATGTCCTTTTTAAAAATATTTTATTATGTTTATTTTATATGTATGAGCATATTGCCTACATGTACGTAGGCACACATGTATCATGCAGTATCCGTGGAGGTCAAAAGAGAGCACTGGATCCCCTAGAACTGGAGTTATGGACAACTATTACTGCCATGTGGGTGTTGGAAACCAAACCCAGGTCCTCTGCAAGAGCAGCCAGTGCTCTAACCAACTGAGCCATCTCTCCAGGCCCCTGATCATATTCTTCTGAATAAGAAACACATAGCAACTGGGCATGGTGGCTGAGGCAAGAGAATTGCTGTAAGTTCAAAGCCAGCATGGGCTGCTTATACCTGAATTCCAGGTCAGCCTGAACTGAAGACACTGTTTCAAAAATACAACAACAATGCCATAAGGAACCAAACACATGGCTTCTAGAAGAATATATGAAATATGATTATCTGTTTAAGTATCCAGTTCTCACACTCAGGTACTTACCTCCAGCCTACTTTGTCCCTGTTTTAAAACCCGTAAAATGTTATAGTCATTTTACCACACTGAAGTTCCATAGGAACAGAGGCTGACACCTACATAATATAAGCTATGGCCTATGGAGGAGGCTAGAAGTATTTAACAAACTATGATAACCTCACAGGAAGCTGTTCCTGTCTCAGTTTTATGTGGTATTGCTGCTTTTTTTTCTCAATAATAAGCAATGCAATTAGCTCAAAAATTTGAAAGCCAGCCCAAGGAATACAGCAAGACCCCATCTCAGAAACAAAAAACACGGGGAGGAGGAAGCAAATCAAATGCTGCGGCCAAATATTAATAGGCTCAAATATGTATCAAAATTATATGCCTTGAACTGGAATGATGGCTCTGCAGTTAAGAACATTTGCTGTTCTTCCAGAGGACCTGGGTTTGATTCCCAGCACCCACCTGGAGGCTAATGACCATCTGTAACTCCAGTTCCAGGGGGATCTGACAGCATCTTCTGGACTCTGCAAGTCTTGTACAGACACACGGTATACTTACATACATACAGCAAAAAACTCAGACACATAAAATAAATAAAATATTTCTTAAAGCTGTACACCTCTATTGCTACCTATATAATTATGCAGCTACTTAAAATCTGAAAATCCCGGGGCTGGAGAGATGGTTCAGAGGTTAAAAGCACTAGCTGCTCTTGCAGAGGGCCCACGTTCAATTCCCAGCACTCACATGACAGCTAACAACTGTCCGTTCCAGTTCCAGGGGATTCCAACACCTTCTTCTGACTGCCTCAGGCATTGCATGACATAGGTGCACTTACACATATGCAGGCAATACACTCATACAGTAAAATAAAAATAATATTTTTAAAACTAAAACAAAGGAAGGCAAAGTAATCATGTTGCCCAAAGAATAACATCTGAAACCTTATCTTGGTACAAAACAAACCTTAGAAAAATTTTATCTATATGTTAATGACAATAATTTTAATGCTCTGGGACAACTATAATAGAGGGGCTGGAGAGATGGCTCAGTGGTTGAGAGCACTGGCTGCTCTTGCAGAGGAACCCATGTCAGTTCCCAGCACCCACATGGTGGCTAACCATGGTTTGTAACTCCAGTTCCAGGGACTCTGACAGCCTCTTCTGACCTCCTCGGGCATCACACAACCTGGGTCTAGTTATATACATGCAGGCAATACACTCATACATATAAAATTAAAATAATAAAATATTTAAAAAATAGATTATACTTTAGTAAATTCCCACTAGACATTCCATTCAAGTTTTCAAATACCAATAACATTTCTAATGAGGAGAGATGTTAAACAAATGATAAGAAATAACAGGAGTTCACTATTACCAGGGCAATGCTCAGTCATATAACTCAAGAATCTATAATTCTCACTAACCTGACAGGAAAAAACATGACATTCCCATTTTATTTACTTATTTTTAAATTCATTATTACTTTTAAATTGTGTGTGTGTGTGTGTGTGTGTCCCCATGTGTGGGTTTGTGCATGTGGGTACAGTGCTGGAGTTACAGGTTGCTGTGAGCCAAGCTGCCTGATGTGGGTGCTGGGAATCGCCTTTGAAGAACATGTACTCTTAACCTCTGAGCCTTCTCTCCAGCCCAGATAGTCCCATTTTAAAAATATTTTATTTAGCCAAGCATGGTAGTGCACACCTGTAATCTCAACTCTCGGGTGGCAAAGGCATATGGATCTTTGTGAGTTCAAGATCAGCCTGGTCTACATAGTGAGTTCCAAGCCAGCTCCACTACAGGGAGACCCTGTCTCAAAAAGACCAAAATAAATGAATTAAAAATATTGTATTATTTTTCTATTTTATGTTTATGAGTGTATTGCCAGCATGTGTGTAAGCGCACTTCTATCATGCATTGCCTGCGATCAGAAGGTGTTGGATCCCCCAGAACTGGAGTTATGGATGGTTGTTAGTTGCCATGTGGGTAGTGGGTCTGCTGTAAGAGCCGTCAATGCTCTTAACCTCTGAGCCATCTCTCCAGCCTGACATCCCCATTTTATAAAATGTAACCAAGGTTCAAACAGGAAAAGTGGCTCACCAAAATCCATTCATTTTACTTAGTCAATTATTGAGGTGGCAAGTCTAAAATTCCTCTTTTATTAAAATATCACCTCCCTTGGTCCCTCCCATCATGACCTCTCCTCACCTCCAATCTAAATCTCAATTCTAGATAGTCTCTTTCCTTTTCTTAAGTTTTGTGGCTGGTCTTATTCTCTTTCTTCTTGAGGCTGCTATTCCCACTCTGTGACAGAGATTTGCCTTTCTTATAGAAAATACTCAGATTAACCTTCAGTTTTCTAGCTCATTTCCTTAAGGCCACAAAAGAAAGTCAAAGGAATATAAAACATTGAATATTAGAGAAAAATCTGTACTCAATAAATCTTTTAGGTTTCTGCACAATCACATGCATTGCTCCCCACCAAAATCATGTAAAACAATCCCATAAAATTTCAAAGTTTGAGGTTGGAGAGATGGTTCAGTGGTTAATAGCACTGGCTGTTCTTACAGAGGACCCAGGTTCGATTTCTAGCATCTATGTGGCAGATATCAATCGTCCATAATTCCAGTTCCAGGGGCTCTGACTACTTCTGACCTCCACAGGCAATGCACGGCACAAGTGCACTTATTACATGCATGGAAAACAGTCATAATACACATTAAAAATTTTTTTCAGGAAAAAAACATTTCAGAGTTTGGAAAACTCTATCAATGAGACTTTTTTCTGTTTTAACAATGTTTTATAGAAATACAGTCACATTCTATTTTTTAATTATTAATTAATTAATTAGTAATAAGGTCTCATTATATGGCCCTGGCTAGCCTGGAAGTTGCTCAGCAAACCAGGCTCATTTCAAATTCAGTGTCTATCTGGCTTCCTCTGCCTCCAGAACACAGGGATTAAAGGTATACACCACCACACCCAGCACACTATTTACATATGGCCTTTGTCCTACAAGAAAGAGCTTAGTACTTAGAGACCATATACCTCTTAAAACTTAAAACATTTACTATCTGATACTTTAAGAAAAAAAATCATCCAAACTTTGCATAAATGAACAATAGTGTAACAAACTGTAAAAATAAAAATAACGTAAGTTATAGCACTTTTTTTTCGTCTTTTTGAGACAGAGTCTCCTTGTAGCCCCAACTGGCCTCAAACTCACAGAGATCCACCTGTCTCTGCCTCCAGAGTGCTGGGACTAAAGGTGTGTACCACACACCTGGCAGCACTTTTTTTTTTTTTTAAGACAGGGTCTTACTATGTAGTCCTAGCTGGCCTGGAACTGCAAATGTAGGCCATTTTCACAGCCTCAATTTCATAGCCTCAAATTCACAGAGATCTACCTGTCTCTGCCTCAGCCTCTAGGAGAGGCTGGCCTAAAGGCAGAAGTCACCAAGCCTGGCAGTAACAATTCAGAGAGGAAAGAATTTACCTAATCCATTTCCTGTTCCAAATGTACAACATTAGAACAAAAAAGTGATTTGGCAAGCTAAAGAGCAAATCAGGAACAAAAAGAACAGAACACTTTGAATAATGGTGGGCAATTTTAAGAGCCACGGGAATGACAAGCAAATGACTGGAGGGGTAAATTATATAAGCTGCACACAGGCTGAGCAGGAACAATAAACAAAACCAGAGCCAAAGCAAGCAGCCACTCAAAATCTAAGCAAAGAAACAGTATCTTATTCCTATTCTACAACTACAAACTTTCAAGAAGTTTTACTGTGTAGAATGGAGATACATTGCTTATGCTTTAAGTCTAGCAATAGCTTTTGGGCTCAGAGTGTACACACATCAGCTAAAATACTAAAATAGCCCAAAGTCAAAACAACCCAAATGGTAATCAATTGATGGAATGAATAAATAAAATGTGG